CGGCTGCGACACGACGGTCTCGGTAGCGAGACCGTTGGCTCCCACTGTGGTCGCCAGTTTGTTTTCAGTGAAAGTCGTTTTCATTGTCGATCCCATTAAAACTTTGATTGTTTACAGGAAATTACAATGAAAATAAACAAAAAATACAACTCTCGAGAAAATAACACAGAAATTGTTTATCAACTCCTGCTTTGTGGGACTTTGCCTGTGCCGGGAGTGCTTTGGCTCGTGGACCACTGATTCACACACCGTGAGGGTGTTTAGGGATCTTTTCTTCGTTTATCGAAGTAAAGATTTAAAGGCGAATATCTTATCAATGTAAGATGTTCACTCTTCCAAAGATCAAGTCTGAGCTTAGATCTCTAGGAATCACCAACTGATGCTTGTCAAAGGGTAAAAGTTTTCTCTTTCTTCCTCAAAATCACCAAAAGCTCAAGTCTCTTCTGCTCTAAAATGCTCTCTAATCAGCCCCTCTTGGATGCTCTCTAATCAGCCCTCCTTGGATGCTCTCTAATCAGCCCCCTTTTGTAACCATTGTCCCACTACCTAAATACCATCATTTTATGATGTTAGTGGGTCTCCTTTCAGTTTGTAACCATCTCCCCACGTTTATGGTTGATCTCAAGTAGTTATGAAGCCAAAAAACCGTCAAAAAACGTGTTGTAACCAACTCTATGGCCGAGACAGTGAAGTCTGTCTCGCACTTCCGAGATAGTTTGTACTATCTCGGGTATTTTGGCTCTAACTCGTTCGTCTGATATCGGAATGAGATGATCCAAGATGCATTGGAAATCTGACGAAGAGATCTACAACTTTTGTCTTTTGATCTTCTTCAGATTTGGTGCGAGACAGTCATGACTATCTCGCATTCCGAAACAGTAAAGTCTGTCTCGCACTTCCGAGACAGTTTGTGTTGTCTCGGGTATTTTAGCTCTAACTCCCTCGTACGATCTCGGAATGAGATCTAGATTTATACCTAATCTGGATTTATACCTAATATCCCCAATAGAAGATCCCTCTTTCTTCGCATATACCCAGTTACAACTAATAGCTTTCTTACCCTTAGGTAGCTTTGCAAGTTCCTAAGTGTCGTTCTTTTGAAGAGACCTCATCTCCTCCTCCAGAGCTTCCCTCCACCTGATCAAGAGCTAGACTCTGCCTCTAAAAATGTAGATGGAACGATATCATCAATGACCTCTACTGATAATGCATATGCAACCATAACATCATTATATCTACCTGGCCGACGAATCACCCTTCTAGGTCTATTTGCTGCAATGGACTCCTAAACATGACCCTGCTCCTGAGTCTCACCATCCACTGTATCCTCTATATGCCCGGCTGTCATCATATCTCCTTCCCGTGTCATCTCTGTAGGAGCCACAATGGATACAATGCTATCTGGAGTGGGTGGAGTCACATCATCCTCCACCTGGTGTGATATTTCTCAAATCTGGTCTTCCTCCACCTGCTAAGAAACTTGAGGCCTCATCATGTACGCTTCATCAAATGTGACATATCTGCTAATAACTATCTTCTTATCCTGTGAATCGCATAGCTTGAAGCCTTTTACTCCTTCTCTAAATCTCAAAGACTGCTTTCCTAACCCTCGGATTTAATTTACCATCACTGACATGATAATAAGCAAGACACCCAAATATCCGAAGCGACTCATAGTCACTAGCTACCAAACCGGACCAACGCTCCATAGGAGTCTTTCCCTGTATCGTAGTGCACGGCAGCCTGTTAACGAGATGGCTCGTAAAAACTAACGCCTCGGCCCAAAAGAATCTAGGCAATTCATTCTGTATCATCATACATCGTACCTTCCCCAGTAAGGTACTGTTCAATCTCTTAGCTACCCAGTTCTGTTGCGGTATCTCTCGAATTATGAAGTGTTGCCTAATGCCGTGATCTCGACAAAACTACAGAAATATATCACTCTTATACTCTCCACCGTTATCTGAATGAAGAGTCTTCACCTTTCTACCTATCTGCGGCTCACTTTGTTCTTTCACTCCACAAAAATATCCAAGATCTCATGTTTATACTTCATAGGGTATACTCAATACCTCCTAGAATAATCATCAATGAAAGTGATAAAATAGTTGGCCCCACCAAGTGATGTGTGCTTGGAAGGGCCCCAAACATCTGTGTGAATATAATCCAATATACCTTGGGTGTTGTGAATAGCAGTGCCAAACTTCACTCTAGTCTTCTTCCCAAGTACATAATGTTAACACAGCTCCATCTTGCAAGTCTTAGCACCTTTCGATAGCCCCTGTTTCGCTAATGACCGCAAGAACTTATCTCTTGTGCGTTCAAGTCTCATGTGCCATAGGGTGTTAGTGTCCTCCTCTGTAGTGATAGAATCTGTCAGACCTCCTGTAAGTGTCTTGCCCTTCAAATATTACAGGTTGTTTTCCCCAACACCTCACATCATCACCATATAACCCTTCGTGACCTTCATAGTAGCATCCTCTAAGGTCACCCGATAACCTGCTGCCTTCAAAGTACCAAGAGAAATGATGTTCTTCGTCGACTATGGTACGAACCTCACTTCTTTCAACTCCCTAACAACACCATCATGCATCCTGATCTGGATTGAACCTATACCACCAATAGGACATATGTGGTCATTACTCATAAGCACGACATCCCCTCTTTACAGCTCCTCAAAGCTAGAGAACCAATCTCTCCTAGGGAAAATGTGATATGTGGCTCTCGAATAGAGTCGGCATCCACTCTGTAGAGTCGGCATAGCAAACTGACAGTAGTGCATGGCACGAATAACCTAAAGAACCCGAATCTGAATGCTCACCAATAGCTTTTGCAACATTCACTTCTGAAGCTTGTAAAGCTTTCCCCTTGTTCTTCCCGGCATTATCCTTCAACTTTGGGCAGTCAATCTTCTAATATCCCTCTTCTTTATAAAAACAATATTGATTTCTACCAACACTCTTATAGCCACCGCTATTCTTCGATTTTGAACGGTTGACTTGGTGGCGGTTTGGAGAACAGCCTCAAACTACTAATACATCTCTCGATGCCTTCTCGGAGGGTTCTCTATCACTCTTCCTCAACTCATAATTCACCAACGCTGAGATCACCTCCTTGTAGCTAACAGTAGTTCTTCCATTGATTATCGTGAGAACAAACGTACCATAATCATTCTCGGGCAACAAACACAAAAATAGCATCACCTTGTTTTCATCCTCAACCATGATGTCCACATTGGTCATATCTAAAAGTAGCTTCGTGAAGTTGTTTACATGCTCCCTAATAGAAACTCCCCTCTTCATCTTGAACTGGTAAAACCTCTTCTTCAAGTGAATCCGATTCTCAAAGCTCTTAGTAAGGTATTTTTCATTGAGCATTTCCCACAATCTCTTTGTTGACATCTCGTTCATCACATAATAAATAAGATTAGGCATCAAGCATGACCGAATAACTTCACAAGCCTACTATTCATTTTTTTCCAAACCATGTCCTCCATATCAGTGGGTTTCTCTTGTAAGTCAAGAGTCTTCTCCAAATTCTGTGCATCCAACACATCCATTACCTAGCACCTCCACAAACCAAAATTGAACTTGCCGTCGAACTTTGGAACATAAATATTTATATTATTGATGCTCGGACTCTGTATCGCCTTCGTAAGAGACGGACCTGATGTGCTTGCTTCTTCCATATTGTCGATCTAACTCTTCAAATAGAAATACTTCAGCGAATCTTTCGCACAAGCCCCAAGCCAAACCCGAAGCTCTGATACCACTTGTTGTGCGCAGCGGAACTCGAACCACACAAACAATGATGAGGAAGATTATAACCAAACAAGCATAAATCATAACACAGCAATAATACACAAGTTTTACGTGGTTCGGCAAGTTTCCTACGTTCACGGTGCAAGGAGGGGGAGTTCTTAATATTAGAAACAAGAGAATACAAATAGGGTTACAAATCTCACAAAAAAACCCTCAAACAAACCTCTTTAGATCTCTCACAAATCTCTCACAATAGGATGCAACAATCCTCTCTCAAAACTGCTCAAAAAACGTCCTTTCTTATTTTCTCTTCTAAAACGTTCCATATATATAGAAATCCTAAAACCAAAAACATACTAGGAATTCTACTCTTCTAAAACGTTCCATATATATAGAAATCCTAAAACCAAAAACATACTAGGAATTCTAAAACCAAAATCAAAACAGATATAGAAATCCTAAAACCAAAAACATACTAGGAATTCTAAAACCAAAATCAAAACAGATTAGGAATCCTAAGAATCTGTTACCAAAACAGATTAGGAATCCTGTTACCAAAACAGATCAGGAATCCTAATAACCTGTTACCAAAACAGATTAGGAATCCCAATAACCTGTTATCAATATAAATTATGAAAAATATTATAAACCTGTTATCCAACACATCATAGTTTCCTTCACCGCCAGAATCCAAATTGATTATCATTAGCTTTAGATCTGTGCACCAACTCGAGATATAATTCTCCCAACATCTTTCAACATGGTATCAGAGCAATCGCAACTCTAAACTATGATGTAATGAAATAAAATTAAGAGAGAACATGCTATAATCTTTATTTATTGTAACGTAAATGGATATTTTTTATTTTTTGCTCTCCGTAAATGGATATTCAGGTTCACACTGGTAACACATTACATAAAAGACTGTAGTATTATTATGCTGTAAGCATGCTTGCACTCCCTTCTGGTCCTCTATTTTACTTATTCCTCCTCTTCTTTGGCTCACATCTCATGATTCTACTTCAAACTATACCAAGAAGGGGAAAAGACATGCTCTTCACACATCAGCATAATCTGTAGGAGAATAAGGAAGGAACAAATCAGCAAGAAAACCCTTCTTCCTTTTAGGGTTACACCCCATATCCTTGCACAACTGGTCATTGTACCAAGTATGTATAACTCCAATACAGGACCTTCTAAAGTATTCCCGGGAGTGTTTCTTCATGTACTTCTCCCACTCCTTCACATTTTCTTCCATTTTCTTAATGCTTGGCAACCGGAAAGCTCCATCTAGAAAGCTAGCCACCCATTTTGCCCTCATCTCGGACGAGTGTAGATGCGAGAGGCTCTCAGAGAAGCCGATGATTGCAAGCTGGGGAATCCTAGGATGGACGCATTCCCTGAAGAAAAAGCCATTGTTAATTTTGCTGGATTACGTAAAATAAAATTATGTACATAACTATGTTTTCAAAACAGTGATCCTAATAATTCACGACATTCATACTATCTACGAGCTGCACAATTAGAGTCAAAAATAATTTGTTCAGGGGGTTTATTTGTACTATTTACGAACTGCAGTACTAGAGTCAAAAGTAATTTATTCAGGGGGTTTATTTGCAACAATAAAACTAGGTGTCCATCCACAATAAATTGGTACTAGCTACTAGGGGTTTATCCGCAACTAACCCATTGCAGAATGATTTCTCCATTACCAACACATGACAGTATTGAAGACCAAATTCTAGGACATTAGTCTGTACAAAAACAAGTGTGTGCAGACCTGTAGAGTGGGACAGTAGTTGTTGATGAACCTGCAGCAATCTTCTGAAATAACGGTGAAAAAAAGATATCCTTGAGCTTCTGGTCCCCTTTGTACCCCGTCGCAAAAATGACAATGTCTGTCTCCAACGGTGAAGACTCTTCATCAATGATCAAGCCGTTCTTACAGAAACTAAAGTTCCGAATTGTGCGAAGGATAATCTTCCCTTCTTCAACTTTGTCGTAGAATTTATTCGGCAGTAGACCAACCAAGCAGGAAGACATGCCATAGAAGAAGCTCTGCTCGGGTACCATTCCGTACTTCTTCAACGGCAGTGTCCATTTGTAGTAGCTTTCAGCAAATTTTGAAATCAACCATGCCTACAACCACCAAAGGATCCTTTTTAAAAGGTACATAAAACTATAGTTGATCATTCATTTCGAGTAACATCATTTTCAATATGTGAGACTACATTTTGGTATACTTAAATACAACATAATTTTCTTTAATTAGCTCTCCATTATATACGTTATGGTCATTTTATGTTAGGAGAATTGAAGATAAACCTCAATTTTAATGAAATTATTTACCAATGGTGACAATAAAGTGGCTAATATGCTAAGCAACAGTCCTTCACCGGGCTTGTGAAACAGAAGTTCAGAGAAGCGATTGAGATAGAAGAAACCGAGAGGAATACCCCACGCAGTTTGCTTTGGTATCATCCACCGTTTGGTTCGACATAGTACTGTGCATGGAAACTCAGGACCTGAAATTGCAAGCGCATGTCAAACTATAGCAATGTGGAGTAAACTTTTCGGTGGTTTGCTTCAAATTTTTTTCTCTCTTTTACAATTACAGTTTTCAGTTCAGTAGGCAACTAGAACTGAAAGTATACTTATCTTGTGTAAATTACAAAGATACTTGCAATTAGTCTTTCTTTATTCATATATTTTAACTCATAGATGGCAACATATGAGAAATTAAAGCCCCTTTAAAATTGGAGGATTATCAGATAACTCCCATAATTTTACAGATATCAGAAAACCCGTTTTTAAGTTTTGGGGTTACTGCAAAACCCCATTAACAGTAAGATTATTTTAGAAACCCCCCACCACAAGCGTGAGCCTCAGTTTTCACTGGCAAAATATCTCCATACGTAATTTTACTCACCCATGTAAACATTTCGATTAATGCTGTTTGGGGGGTTTCCTAATAAAATCGTAAAGTCAAATGGGGTCCTCTGGTAACTCATAAATCAATATTTTCTTTAATATTTTGAAATTTAATTGTGGGTGGTCGTCCAATAGTGATAAAAGTAAGGGGTTTTCCTCTAGTACTAAGCGTTCATAAATGTAATCATTTTACCATTTACATCCGCGCACTCTGCTGCAATATCTACAGCAGACTTTAGGTATCCGATCACCGTAACTCGCTTTCCCTTGATCAGCTCGTGCGCACGGGCACTGCCCATGTCAGCGTAGTCCATGGAGTGGATGACCTCTCCATCGAGCACTTCAGGCCCCTTGTTTATAGGGAAATCAGGGATGTTCGGAACACCACTGTAGAATCCTATGCACAGAATCAAGAAGTCTGCTTCATGCACCTGGAGTCCGCAAGGAGTCAGTAAGGACTAAAAGGCCGGTACAGTATAATCGTACAATCTAAGTTATTTTTTAGCATATATCTTAAAACCCATGCACTTCAAAAACAATCAATATGAAAACCAGCTGAAATTGCCCTCTATTTTCCATCTCTCCCCCTGATGCAAGCAAGAGTTTCTCAAACCCATGCACTTTATTGACTGCAGCAGGAAAGAAGAATTTTAGTTGGCACCCCGATTTTTGCTGAACTCCTCCCAATTTGTTAT